TTTTTGCTCTGTTTTTCTAAATATCTGATTTAAAGCAGCAGTTTAGCAGGCCACCATGGATAACTAACTGAACAGTAGTCTTTTATGAACTGCATTATGCTGCACAGTGTATATAACCTGTGTTTCTGTTAACCGCATAAAATCTTTTTTAAAAGTCAGAAAGACAGTGCTGATATTGATCAGCTACCCTTTCAAACATGAGGAAATTTTTGACCCGAGAGGAGATCCAGAATACCACTGGTTGCCTAAGGACAATAATTCAACTCCACAACTATGAAAGTGGAATCAGGGAGGCCAAGAATCTGAAATCAGCTCACGTAAGCACCTGTAAACCAAGTCCAAACATGGACTTATGGCTTGAGGGTCAGGTGAGCATTAGAGGCGGAATTACATCTGGATTAATCCTGCAAAATAATCATAATCAAGAGCGGAGATTGCAAAATCGTAATTCAAATTCCCAAAAAAAAAACTTCAAATTTTTTTATTTTTTCTTTCCTAGATTTTACTACTGCCCTATAAAGCGTGGTTTCTGGACGAATTCTACTGCCTAAATTTAAATTTGAGTTGATTTGATGGCACCTCAGGCGGCATAATATCAAATCTTAAGCCTCACACGTTTTTTGACCAGTAACCGCAAACGCTCCCAGGATAAAGCAAACTTTGTCTATACTGAAACAACCGAACCCTCAAAAGCCTAGTGCAAAAACGCAATCAGACCGATGTGGTTCTCGGACTACGTTCCAACTGGACCCGCCATTTTGGCTCTTTGAATAAGACGTTTTATTCAAATTTTATGTTCCTCGACAATGAGTTTTGCGTAGCGGCGCATAATGAAATCTATTTATAAAGTGAAAGTAAGAGAATAATACATGAAGACAGGTAATAATGAGATCCACACAGGAGAGCAGAAGCAACGAGGCAAGCTGACCTGGCAAACGAAAGCTGCACAGAACAACTGAAAGCAACAAGCACTACTGCTTCCAGCACCAACAGAAAGAACTGGAACTCCTCCGAAGACAAAGCCAAGCAAATTTGTTATTCTAATTTTTATGAGTTTTATCCAGCTGGCAGAGTGAGGCGGGCGATGGAAGTGGCCCGAGGAAAGTGCATAAGCCTTGTGCAGCTAATGCTCTGCAGCTTTTTAGCTGCTTAGAAAAACGCTGCGGAAAAGACTGAGCTACTGAAAAACCGACAGTTCTAACAAAGCGAACCTATATATGCAAGACCGGGAAAAAAGACCCAAACTTAAGTGAATCCAGAATGGACTCCTGGGGAAGGAGAGGGGAGCAACGGGGGATGGAAAGAGCAGTCTCCTCGCACTGTGGAGCTGTGTAAAAACTAGGAATAGAACTGTAACACTGCCGCTTAGAATTACTTTAGATTTTCGTTCACTTGAGTTTTAGCTTTAATCTCGGTCTCTTGCAGCACTGGCACCTGTACCGAAAGATCCCTTTCCCCTTCCCCTCCCCCTCTTCCCCGTGGATCCGCCTATGGATCAAAGTTATGTAGGCACAGAGCCGAGAAGCCTGAGGGCATGCTGCAGCAGCATCTCAGTAGCACCGGAGGTCGGCCCATTTTAAAAGGAAAACTTCTAATTTGAAGATCACTGCAAAAAAGAAATCTATTTACAATAACAATGGGAATAATAAAAACGGGCAACGCATAAAATTGAGCTA